GACCCTAAACCTGACCTATACTCAATTCACGCCTTTGATCTGAACCTAACTCAGCTCGAGGACTTCTCATCGTTAGTCCCCAGAAGTACCCAAAACTGTAGTTTTCTGAGAAATTGTCACCACAGGGTAACAAAAACATGGACAGACACACATCCCAAAGTGTGTGCATCATGGCCAATCACCAGCGTGTGCAGCAGCTTTCCACCAATCACAGGCAGCCTCCTGTTGTTTGCTTCTTCAGAACCCTTTGAACCCACCAAGAACCCGCTCTGTGTTTGTAGGCAAATGTGACGGCTACAGCAGAGGAACTTATCATCCACACATCCTTCTTCTCAGCCAGCAGAGAGGTCCTGCCCAAGGTGAGACCCTGAGGAACATGGCTGGGCCTTAGATGTTCTCAGGAACTGCATGAGGTTGACCTCTGTCTGTGTTTCAGGAGCTGACCCTTACCTCTTTACCAGCTGTGCTGCTTTTTAAGGATGGGACCTACTTAACCTATAATGGTGAGACGGGTATCCCTGGCTGAAAGGAGACCACGCTGGCTTCCTCCAGAGCCCGGGTGGACTCTCACTCATGGTAGCCTCCTGTGTTTCAGAGGAGCAGGACGGAGACCTGAGGTCGTGGATCCAGAGAGAGCGCTTCCCGCACTTTTCTCTGATTGACAGTTACACTCTGTACGCCATGGGGGAGTCAGGTAAGAGAGTCCCTCCTGGGACGGTGTGCTGCGTTTAGGGAAGCCTTCAGAGCTGAGGATCTAGGTGTTCTAGCTGGTTCCATCCAGCCAACATGGAAGAATCTGTCAGAACAGGAAGGTTTGATTCATGATGGAAACAAAGTTCAACCTGACTAATGCTCAGCTGGCCTCTGGATGCTATGAGGTGGATCCTGAACCCCATGTGACCTCCAGAGGTTAAGAGATCAACCTGAGCTCACAGGGCCAACCATGGAGCTGTTTCACGTGGAAAAAGTTTCTTTCCATGTATGTCTTTGTCTCACCTGCTCAGTGTTTATATGTATTGTCTGTTTGATCACCATTACTCGAGAACTTTACTGTACCTGGACCCTCTGTCTCTGACTCGGGCCTCACACTAGGACTCAGTCTCTTCATCTCTTAGTAAGCTGAGTCCCAGAAGGAAGACGTGAGGTCTGGAGAGGATCTTGCTGCCTTGTTCTCCACTGGGTTTGCTGCTGGTTTAGGCTGAAGAAGGGATCCTTCTGTAGTTCATCACATGGCTGACCAGGCTGCTGTCACTGTAACGCCCACTCTGACCGAGTCTTCTGCAGGTCTGGAACCAACCTCATTTAGGTCCCAAAAAGGATAATTTAGCCCAGGGGTGTCAAACCGCTTCCAGAAAGGGCCGTGTGGCTGCAGGTTTTCTTTCCAACCAAGCAATGGCACACCAGACTCCATTCATCCCATCAAGTCATCATGTTCAGATTGCACTGAGTTGATGAGATGACTGGGCTCTGGTGTGCCATTGCTTGGTTGGAAAGAAAACCTGCAGCCACACGGCCCTCTCTGGAACCGGTGTGACACTCCTAAAACCTCTTCCAAAGAAGTGAGGTCCCTGCCTGGACAGGTTACCAAGTCCTTCAATGGGTGACACCCAGGGGGGCAACCACCTCTGCTCCTGTCTCCTTCTGCTGTTAGAGACTTGGATCAGTGATGACCTTATTGCCAAGGTTACAGAGAAGGTTCTGGTCAGGCAGCCATCAGCAGCTCTGGTTCTGGACAGTGGCCCGAGAGTTGAGCCAGACAAACACATGGTTGTCTGATAATCCAATAATCTGTAGCATGCAGCTGGTGCTGGCTGGCTGTGAGATGGACATGGGCCTGCTAGAACGTTCCATTTCCAGCAGAGGTGCCTCTGCAGAGGCTCAGTTCAATGTTTCTCACACACGAGGGCCAAATGGTTTGGACCAAGGAGGAGGTGGTGACAGGATAGGGAGCTAAAGGAAGAACCAGATGGGACTTGCTCATCAGGTCCACCTTTCTCCTGCAGGTAAACTGGTGCTATTGGCTCTGCTGGAGGAGAGACACCTGTGTGCAGAAAGCCTGAAGTGAGTCCTCACTGTGTGTCATTTGTCTGTCTCTTTAACTTCATGCTGTGATGCCTTTAATGTCACCTCATCTAGGTTCAAGCGGCTGGTGGAGAAGGTAGCTACAGAGCACAAGGAGAAGTACAGCAGGTCAGTGGCAAAGCCTGACAGACTCCAAGTCAGGAGACGGTGACTCAGATCAGGAATGAGCCAGATGTCAGAGAGGGTGGCGTTAGCTATGAGGCTAGCACAGACTGAAGAACCATAGAGAACAGACCATCCTGTTAGGGAGGGACCTGTCAGAGAGGTTAACTCGGACTGTGTCTGCATTCAGGAAGTTCTACTTCGGCTTCATGGAGGGCAGCGACTACATTGACGGACTCATCATGGGGTGAGTTCTCCTCCCTAACCCTTGATCATTAGAAGCTAGCTCAGCTCAATAACAGCGCCTCTTCCTGCCATCGGCAGCCAGGCCGTGGTTCCCTCCTTCATAGTGGTCAACCTGTCCAGTGACACCTTCTTCCTACCGCCCGGCCCCATAGAGACAGAGCTCCATCTGCTCCACTTTCTGGACGGTGTCCTGGACGGCAGCATGGAGGTGAGCTGAAGCCAGCTGGTGGGAGGGACTGGGAACACTGGGAGGTCTCTGAATTCTGTCTGACCTGCTCCTCAGAGTCTGGGAGGAAACGGCTTCTCACAGCGCATCAGACGCTTCGTCTATGAGACCAGGATGACGTTAATGGTAAGACCAAACCTGGTCCAAGCTCAGACTGTCATGTCCGCCGTCCTCACTGACCCTGATCCTTCTGCCTCTGCAGCCGGTGTTCAGGGATGCTCCGGTGCTCGGCTGCTTCCTGGTAGGCTTCCCTCTCAGCGTGGGCTGCATCTTCTGCTACCTGTGCATCAAGAACAGACCCAGTTCGCAGGACGACGCCTCGGAGGAGGAGGAGGTTCCTCTGCTGGCGCCATCACTGCAGCGACAGAAGAAAGGGACAGACAAGAAGTGTGACTGAGTGGCTGCAGCAACATGTAGAGCACCGAACCCGGTCCTGTCTTCAAACCTGCATAGGATGCTCTGGTTCTGGTCAGGATGAGCAGAGATTAACTGGCTCAGGTCGGTTTCTTTTAGAGCTGAAATAAAGGCATAGATCTGTGGAAAACCTCTGAGACTCCAGTGGGATCATTTCAAAACCATTGACTCTTTGGTTCTGATCTTATTGGCTCATCTGTTCTGGAACAAATTTAGGCCATTAGAAGTTTCCAGACCAACCTGCCCTGTTTGCGGTGGTTCCTTTCACTGAGGGGGGGGGGTGGACATGGCCTCTGTGCTTTTGTTACAGCAGTTTGGACCTGCTCTGATTCTGAATCGGTACCGCTCAGAGATGACCATGTGCTAACCCCTACTGGTGGAAACGGTACTTTAGTACAATTGTTGTGGCAGATTGCTACAACATCAAACTGACTCTGACTAACAATCCTGTAAAGGAAGCTCTGTACTTCAGGACTGTCAGACTGTCCATGAGGTCCAGTTTCCTGCAGCTTTTATATTTGTCCCTATTTCATCACCAGCATTGAACACTAACACAGAGATAAAATGCTAGATTCATAGTGGTGTGTTTTGTTAAAGCCAGTAACTGGGTCTGGGCTGTTGCCTAATAAAGTGCCTTCTCTAAGCATGTAAATAAGTAGCATCTAGAAACTGACCTTAAACTAACTCAACCTTACCTACCTTAACTAGAGCTAACTTAAGTATTAAACTACCTGAAATATGACCTCTAAGCAGTATTCAGGTAGGCTGATTGGCTGCAGTCAGCCATTAAACTAATAGAAGAAAGCAGCTGATTGGCTGCAGGCAGCCATTAAACTAATAGAAGAAAGCAGCTGATTGGCTGCAGTCCTCCAAGTCTACAGCTGATCAGTGATTTTTCGTCAGCGGCTTTTATTCTGAAAGGCGCTCAGCTCAGAGGCTGTTTCCGGGAGGCTAATGCTAACAACTTACAGACTGAAAAGTTTCCTTCTTTCTCTCACCGGACCCAAGCACCACCGAACCGCTCCGAACCGGTTCCTGGACCTCCTCTCATGCTGCGGCCGAACTGAGGAGGCTTCCGCTGCCTGATCGTGCACGCGCGCGGTTTCCATGGCCACGGAGGAGTTCTACGAGGTAAGCCTAGCATGCTAGCAGGGAAGCCAGTGGAGGAAGCTCCGAGCCCGGCTGGGAGCTCCGAGGCAGGTTAGGAGCCGAACCGCGGTGGTTCTGGTGGGTAGAATGGAAGCAGGTCAATCGCTCTGCTCACCGGTCAGGTTCGGACTCGGAATGTTGGACCGGCCAAAGTACCAGAACCTGGAGGGAGAATACTGAACAGAACTATGGTGACAGTGGAGACCACAAGGAATCATTAGCAGGCAGAGTGATGGTGATGATGATGATGGTGGTGATTATGATGGTGATGATGGTGGTGATTATGATGGTGATGATGGTGGTGATTATGATGGTGATTATGATGGTGATGATGGTGGTGATGATGTTGTGATGATAAAGGTGGTGATGATGATGATGATGGTGGTGATTATGATGATGATGATGGTGGTGATAATGAAGGTGATGATGATGATGATGGTGATAATGAAGGTGATGATGATGGTTTCGCCCTGCAGGTGGAGCGGATCATCGACAAAAGGAAGAACAGGAAGGGCAAGGTGGAGTACCTGGTCCGCTGGAGGGGTTACGGCTCAGAGGGGGACACCTGGGAGCCTGAGGGACACCTGTCCACCTGCATGTCTTATGTCCACCAGTTCAACCAGCAGCAGCGGGACACCACCCTACTGCGTTCAACCCGCAACCCCCACTACAGCCCCGCCCCCCTCTGTGACCTACAGCTGCCCCTCAGCTCGCCCCGCCCAGCGGACAACCCTCAGCAGGCTCCCCCCACAGCAGCTCTCAGCGCCACGCTGATGGCCACGCCTCCGGGCGGTTCGGCCCGCCGGGGCCTGGATCTGGCCAAAAGTGGCATCAAAATTCTGGTTCCCAAAAGTCCCATGAATTCCCGTCCCAAATCGGAGGACTCTCCTAGTGAAGCGGCCCAAAGTCTGGAGGCCGGCACCCAAGAGGCTCACCTGGTCCCGCCTGAGGTCGCCCTGCTGGAAAAACCTACCAGAGTCCAGTTGGGCCCGGGTCAGGAGAGGGCCCGTATGGGGACCCGACCCCGGAGCCAGAACCCTATGCCGCCGCTCCCAGGGGTCCCGGCGATCCCTGCTGCTGTGCGCTCCCTGTGTGGCTCTGGTCAGTACGCTCTGTCTGTCTCATGGTGTAGAGATTTCCCCCGCTTAGAACCGAACTGAAATACTGATAGAACCTCAGAGAAACACAGCAGCTCGGAGGAAAAACACAAAGCTTTAAATATTAGAATTGTTTAACTCTGTGGCTGATGTTACTAGAACTGTTTAACTCTGTGGCTGATGTTACTAGAACCGTGTTACTCCGTGGCTGATGTTACTAGAACCGTGTTACTCCGTGGCTGATGTTACTAGAACAGTGTTACTCCGTGGCTGATGTTACTAGAACCGTTTAACTCCCTGGCTGATGTTACTAGAACCGTGTTACTCCGTGGCTGATGTTACTAGAACCGTGTGACTCCGTGGCTGATGTTACTGGAACCGTGT